TGTAAATTAGAGTCAATTGTGTAACTGGTTACTGCACAGGGTCAAAGGTCATATATTGTTTCAATCTATCTTCCCTAGATCCATGATGATCAAGGAGACACAATTTAATCTTGACATATGAATAGATCATAATGGGAGAAGCATATGAATGGGAGAAGCAAAATAATATATCGTGTAATGCATTATTCGTTATGTAAACCATTATCATACGTATCACCTAATTCGTCTAAGTGACGAATTAAAGTCTAGTTAGGTGATACGTAACGAAGTCTACGTATCACCTATTGATTTCGTCAAGATTTTTATTATTATTCTTCTTCCTATTATTCTTCCTCGATTTTGTTCGCAGGATATCTCAAGACTGAATAAAACCATTGTCATGAAACTTTCAATGATGATAGATCTTAGTCTAACTTAGAACTGCGTGATTTTTCAAGGACTCAAAGTCATCGTGACGTCATCCAGGCGCCATTTTGTGAAAATCAACTAATGATCATATCTTCATAACGGAAAGTTATTTTTCATTCATATTTATCATGAATAAGATCAATATCCGTCGGGTCAATTTGAGGTCAATAAATGCGCGCAAAAATGCGCGTACGCGTAGGCGCGCGCGTTAATGCGCGCGTAAAATTTTAAATTGCTCAAAATCGTCTTAAATTTGTTTTGCATACGTTTCAGGCCATTATAAGCATTTCATAAAAAATCACGCAAAACACGCATTTTTGCACGTTTTCGTTCGTCACGGCCGAACGAAAAATAATCCCCCAGCAAAAACTTTTGACAGAATATTCCTCATATTTTTTCGGAAAATTTGATACCATGTTTAGCTCTTTATCACTATTAAAAACGGAATGAGCGTCCGTTCAAGATAACCGTCCGTACGCGCGATTTTTGTAATACATTGCATATATGGGCAGAAACATGCCTATAAAAAGTCCATTGGGATGAATAGGGATTGCCAATTTTTTTTTCATATTTAGATAGAGTATGAGTCGGAGGTATGATTTCATATCTCATTTGGCCATTAAGTACATCTTAACGTCATCATAATGGCCTTGGAAGTCAAAAATACAAAATTGCATATTATGACGTCATTGTATTTATGGAAAATGTAGTGTATTTCTCTCAATATTCATCGATTCTCTTTGAAATGTCGATATGTTGTAGATAAGGCAATTCTCTACAAGATCACTTTTCACTAAGTTTCATTTTAATGAGGTCATCATAGTACAAAATTCAATTAAAGGCCACATGTCAGAATTTTCGTCATTTGCGTGTTATGTCTATGGAAGGTGAATTTCGTTCACATCATGAATCTACATGGCATTCATCTATGAGCACTATCTACCTTATGTGTGCTCTGTTTTCTCCCAAGTTGGGATATGTTATAGCTGAGACCATGGGCTATAAAAACGGTGCTTTTAGTTTTTTGATCAGATGATGGTATCATGTCACAATTTTCAATTGAAAGTCGAATTTGCAAATTCCGTAGAACTTTGCAGTAATTATGATGTCACGTATGTCCTATTTGTGAAATTTTAACGTTAGCAGTGTCCTAGTATTGAGTTTAATTGATGATGGTTTGATTGAGAATAAAAATAAAAGAACAACAATGCATTGCGGCATAAACGGATGAATTAGGAAATGTTTTACAAATTTAAAATACAATATATTCAAACATTCTTATTAAATAAAATCGAAATTAAAGAATTGAACCTGAATGAGTAAATTGTTAAAAACAATATTCAACTTCGAAATTTGTATTTCATTTTTGATCTTCCGAAATCATTTGATATAAAAAGGAGATACACAAAGTGAAGAAGAACATGATGATGTAAAGCAAAGAAAGAAAAGAAAAGTTGATGGTAAGATGGTAAGAGGATAGACAGAGGGTATAGTAACACTATCCTAAGGTATCGATATCAATATTCAAGCATTACACATTATACAAATTACAAATGATAGAGGCGAAGTTATTATGCGAATACTTATATGACAAATTGTACACATTTATATTTTCCTCTAGGTAATAGCTACTACAAGAAAAAGGTTATGTTTTATCCAAACTGTAAAAAAAGGGGAATTATTAGAAGAAGTAAAAGTAGAAGAAGAAAGAGGGAAAAGAGAATTGAGAAAAAAGGAGATGGGTGAGATGCCTTGCTGCCTTCCTCTTTATCTCTTGTTTTGTCTCGATCTGCCTCTCTATTTCTGTATAGTCTCCCCCTTTCTCTCTGCATCATCCCAGTGTCTCATTTATTAGTGTATTACATGTATACAAATCAAATCAAAGGAAATTTGAGGCAATTTCAATCGTTTAGCCATTCACTGCCATGCATACTAACAATCATTTCTAGAATTAACATCTTATAGATGTTGGTTTATGGATGGGTAAAATATAAATATCTTACTCATATTTTATATTGAATCAGGACTAAATAAATCACTGTGTTCATGTTTAATTGATAAAAAAGGGGCTTAAAAACTTTATTTGCATGTTATCTCAAGACTTGACAGATGGCACACGGAAGCATTCACATCCTTAGTGCGTTAAAACGTTATTCAAACGGTAGATCTTTCTTTCCAATACGGAACGGTCAATAAGCAGCATGAAACTTAATTAAGATATAGTCCTTATTAGTCATAATCAGCTCTATTGACGTCATTGTTGCGTATTTAGTGCGTCGAAATATCACTTCAATGATTGGTATAAGTATATCTCTGCAATGTTTAGTAATAGCAGGGCACTCTCCCTGGTAATAGTTAACAGTTATCATATATAACGATCCTCAATCGAAAACATGAAGGGGGCGCTGTGCCACTTTCAATCATGGTCATCATTTTAATATCGTCATCATCGTATTCATGAACATAATCGTTTTTTGATTATCGGCAACACTTTCATGACCAGTATTCAAAAGAGCTTATTTATGTTAGAAATATGGAAGGCATTGTTCTCAATTGCATCTCTCTCTCTCTCCTCTCTCTTGCTGTGTTTCCCTTCTCCCCTCATGTTCTGCCCCTCTCCTTTACTTGGTCTGTCTCTGCATCTCTCTCTCACTCTCTATCTCTCTTTCCCTCTCTACACTTTTATCCTCTCCCTCTCTCTCTCTCTCTCTTTCTCTTGCCTTGCCTTCTTCTTATTATATTGCTCTGTCTCCCTCTGTTCTACACAGTTGAAACTTGACTAATGGATATACCATAATGGAAGTAGTATTTAATAAAGAAAGATGAAATCGTGAAAATGCGTTCTTCATTATGTTACACACGTATCACCTAATTCGTCAAAGTGACGAATTAAAGTCTAGTAATTTCTTTGTATCTTTTCATTGTTTATGATAAAAAAACCCAGCATAATTCATATAAATGTGAACATGATTATATTTTACAACATAAAAATTGCACACAAACGTTGCATTTAAAAAAAAACTTAACTCCCTTGGGGATCATTCGGGCCAGGCGACATTTTACAGACACAATGATGAACAAATTACACTGGGTATCTGATATACTTGAGTGCTACACATTTGGTCTGTCGGCTAAAAAAAGAGTAGTACTTAATAATGGTTCGGTTGTAGAGCAGTGGTCTCGTCACCTGGCGGTCACGGGTTCGAAACTAAGTCGACGCTAGTGCTCTTCGGTAAGGTATTAATCCTCATTAGCAAGTCGCTCGGAGAGGACTTAAATTCGGCGTTTCACTGGTTCCCTACTTACGAGCATAAACACACTTTCTTAGCATTCAGGTAAAACAAAACAATTGGAAGTTATTCAGGAAGAAAATATTATTTATACCCCGTTCTCTATTTCGGTAGACTTTTTAATTTCTGATTATTTTGTACATGGATGAGGATATGAAACGGCATTTAAATCCCACCTGCACTAGTTTGGACAGGGGGATTAGAGCTCCCACTTGGTCACTGACAGGTTGTTATCTCATCAACTAAGCTCTCAATTAACATTTGAAAAGGGGATCATGGGGGACCAACGGGCACCGCTTAGGCATTGTTTTCTATATAGAGGGAGTAAGTAGCTACAAGTAGTGCAGTGGGGCTTTAATACAAATATTATTACAGTTTTTTGTCATGGGGGGGGGGGGGGCAGGAATTCGATTGAATCTAGTAAATTCTTATATTCCTGTTCTTTATGCATGAGATAATTCTGCCTAATTAGCGGGATTGCAAACAGAATATTAGGCGTTTCACTTAAGTTACAGAGCTACAGAAACCTTTTTCGTATCTTTAGGTAAACATGGAACTGGGAGGACTTTTCATGCTTCTTGAATCTGCGAATTAGGTCCACCCTCTTTAAATACGTTTTTTTTAGAGATGTCTCTCTCCGTTTCATTTCCTTTAGATATGCTTTTATTTTTTCTGCTATCTTGGTATACTCTCGCATTGTCATTGCACACCATGTCGCGATATTCCCCTTCTAGTTACTTACTGTTTTCCTTAGTCTGGTACCTTCTACTTTTCCTTCGAAAAATCTTTCACGATTCTGGCAATTGCTGGGATAAGAATAATTGCAGGGCTCTAAGGAAGAACATCGTTTATGCCTTGGCTTCTTTGGTTTAAAGATATTATTACCTCTTTTGAAATCACTCTTATTACCATTTCATTATTATTTTATTATTTTCATCGTTATTATTTTTATTACAATTATTATTATTATTATAATTATTATTATTATTATTATTATTATTATTATCATTATTATTATTATTATTATTATTATTATTATTATTATTATTATTATTATGAATTCATTGCACAGATACCAGCGTCACTGTAATAGAACTAGAATGGAACGAAACCACCGTCATATCTTCACCCGGCTATCCATCCTACTACAAGTCGAACCTAGACCTTACTTGGGTACTCACTGCTCCAGTGGGTCATATCCTCCAGATACATATCCTAGACCTGGCCCTAGAGACGGACTACGACTACTTGTACATTGGTTATGGGCCTGGTCCCAATAAACCTGGTTCTTTGGAGCTTCGGAAACTGACTGGGTATAACTATTCCAGTGAACCCGCTACACCCAGTCACTCTATGTGGGTCAGGTTTACCACGGATGTCTCAAGGGGAGATATTGGCTTCAGTCTTCGTGTCACAGCTATACTAAACCCTGGTAAGTTCATATTAGACATAGGTTCTGCTCCTTAATAGGTGTCGTGGCCTAGTGGATACGTCACCGGACTGTGGATGATATGGTTTGCGTTTCGAGTCCCGCCGAGGCACTAATGACCTTTGGCAAGACATTAATCTATCTTTGTTAATATCCTTCCAGACATAGTAAATGGCAACCCAGTAGGAATTTATTCCTTGAATCCTTTTAACCCCTTAGGGCAACAGGGCTAAAACAAGAGTTATAATTTTACTTTGTAGGCTCCTTGAGCTTCCTCTGGGATGAATGTGTGTTCAATATAAATGTAGCTATTATTCTTCTTATTATTTCTTAGTTATGTTTCTTATTAGCACCCCATGGGACACTCGGGGCACGCAAGACGATTTAATTTGGCTGATCATAATGTTAAATAGTCAAAAAGAAAGAAAATTCTCCACTCCTGTAAGTGGATGCATAATACCATTTCACTGATTATTAACGCATCAAAATGTTACTTCCCTCACTCACAAAAAGTCAATTATATGATATTTTACCTAGAATGCTTTGATGAAATAAATTATCAAAAATGAAAGTAAAAATATAGAGTATCCTTCAATTTCATATGAAGCAAGAGGGGAAATATTCCACTAACACTAGATAGTTTTTGGTGAAGTGTAATACACAGAGGCCTGTAATAAAACGTAATTTCAGAAATATTCCTTTCCCGTCTGATAAATAAGTTAAGAACCATTCAAATAGACACTGCGCTGACAGAGGTTGTTAAAGATAGGTAGGCCTACGATAATTGGTTTGCCAGTTATGCTTAAACGTATATTCTTAAGACATCTAACGAAAACCGCATGTTGTATCAAAGTGAGGTCGTGCCTTATAATATTTGATTTACTGTCCAGAGTGATTATTTCAATTATACTCAAAATATTCCATTAGGGCTCCGTCTTATAAAGAGTTGGGATTGATCCGCATCAATCGCAAGTTTAGAGTCTCCTATCTCTTATGTACATTCTTGCGATTGATATCAATCGCATCTAAGTTGCGATTAATATCAACTCTTTATAAGACGGGGCCCAGACATTATATTGCTATTCAAAATCTATCAGTTACAGTACACGATAACAAATTGTTTACTAGAGTTGAGACTATCTATAATTCGCTGCTTTAAATATTTCATGACAGAATGCAGCAGCGGTCAAATGCAATGTTCGAGTGGACTGTGTATCAGCGAATCGGCAAGGTGTGACGGATATAATGACTGTCTCGATTTCTCAGATGAGGAATACTGTCGTAAGTTTTTATTGACGTTTACATTCGCTTCTCAATTAATTTCTATCGTTATAAATGTTACATAAAATTTACATTTCCTTCAATTGTATTACACACCTATCTATCTTTATAATTATATTGAGGGAGTTTCTATACTTCTGGATTTTTACTTTAGAGAGAGGTTTTTTTTCCCCTGTGTTTTTGTTTACCAGTTCCCCAAACACATTAAGCCTTTAATGACCTTCAGCGGTGGAACTATTTTGATTGCCCTTTTTTTGCTGTTAATGTGTCTATATGTTGTCTGCTTTCCTGATTTCTCTGACATGTTATCGCTGTTGGTTTACCCTTCATTGATTGATTTTTCTCCTACCCAGCGTACTGCGAACAAGTTCAATTTGATATATGTAGACAGAGCCTGGCCTATAATTTGACTTTTTTCCCGAATCGGAACGCAGAGACAGCAGACGCTGCAGCGGGAAACTTTACAGACATGGTAAGCAGCGGAACGTATTTTAATTGTTTTATAAAGAAATGTTGAGTTAATTCTTTATTATTGATGGGTTTGTCGAGAATGTCGGTGGTTTTCAGAGATAATGCCAGGAACGATTAATTAATTGGTTTTAACTTCAGTAAAACATTGCCTTACTACGATTATTGACCTGCATATCAACCAATGAATTTGGTATTTGTTAATACGCATTCAATAATTTTGTATAAGTGATTCTATTCAAGGGGATATGCATGGTAGCAAGGACAATCACACAGAAGGATGTATATTTTAGAGACGTAACGACTGAAAATATGTTGGAGATTTTTTTTTTGATGTAATATTTATTGTTTGTCTGAAAATACATAATTTATGTTATATTTGTGGGTTTTAGGCATATAATTACGGTCAGATGAGCATACTTTCATACCCTATTTGTGACACTGGCAGGTCACTAATTGGCCTGGGGTCCAGGGGGCGGACCCCCAGTAAGCTCAGGGGTTTTAGGCAATAAATTATCGTCAGATGATCATCTATTTATAGGGACCCGCCTCAGGCCCCTAGGTGGATCTAGGGGGCAGAGCCCCCGGAAGCTTAGGGGTGTTAGGTATTTCATTACGGTCAGATGAGCATACTTTGATACTAATTTTGGCGGGGGGGGGGTAAAGCCCGCTCGGCCCCCCCTTCCCCTGGATCTGCGCCTGCGTGGTCTCCCCTACCACTTGCAAGAGCTGCTGGCTACACTGACGATGTTGAATTACCATACACAAACTACGTTGCAATGACGTGAAATTCTCAAAGTTTATACTTTCTAATGACCTACCCTAGGGAACTACTATATCATCGTGCCATGATCACCTGTTCCCTTTCATGTGCTCCGTTTACTATCCGGAATGCACCCATAACGGCCCCACCCATCGGGTGTGCTACTCCGACTGTTTGGCAGTCACTGATGCCTGCAAGGCATCCTTTGAGCAACTCCTCGACCGTCCTTGGCCCGTCAACTGCTCGTTGTTTACCGATGAACAGGAGGAAGATGGGAGCTGTTTTGGCCCTGCGGGAGGTAAAGACGGTGCACACATATTCATGTAGATGATATCGAGTTCAGAATATGCTTGAACTTAACAAGATGCACTAAGTGTTTATAAATGATAGTTCATAAAACCGAAGAAAAGATATCAGCATTTTCTATTGAATTCATCACATGTGGCAGTGGCGTACAGCTAATGAGATGGGGATTGCGGCACTGATCTTACTGCCAAGTGGGTTTTTAGAGAAACATGAAAATCAGCAACCAAATGATACGTGGATTGGAGGGTATTCAAAGATGGTCTATCATCTTCTGTGGGCATCCTTTCCCCTCCTCTTTTCATTTTATTTTCGATGTATGCTTTGTTTAGTTTCATTTGCTTTGGGGGGAGGCAAAGGGGTGCTATTCAAATTGAGTGGATGTCCCTTCCATTCCCGTCGTTGTGCCACTGACTTGCAACTTTATCCCTCCCCCAGATATTTTCGATACCAACATATGCGGGACACGCCCTGCATACGCACCAGACCAAAACAGGGTTCTTGGTGGTACCAACGCACGCCAAGGGGAATTCCCTTGGATTGGTTCACTCCGCATCGAAGGATTGGATTTTGGAGGACATTGGTGTGGGTCTACCCTGATTAACTCTCAATGGGTTCTTACCGCCGCTCACTGCGTGTAAGTATGATGCCACTATGAAATCGTTTGCTCTGTGGAAATGAAAGCAAATTGACACCTTACCTTCACAGGGATATTTAATTCGTTTAATTTATATAGAAACGAACGTGTTTACCTTAAGAGTGCATGTACTATAACTAAACAAAGTATGCACTGAGTTTTCGTCTAAATAATCATAGTCATGAAAATATATATATAAAGTAGTCTATCACTAGTAGTCAATAACTGTACACCCAATTATATATCTGTTCTTCAGAACAGATCAACCCAATTACAATATCATGTAAAAGGCATTAAGCAACATTTTATTGAACGTTGCGCTATATGAAAAGTAATTGTATGTATGTATGAAATAAATAGAACCAGTAAACCCAAAGCGTAGCATTCACTCGCAGGGTATAATGGCCTAATACGTCAGAACAAGTTACCTTAAAGGTAAAGACCAGTAATGGTCATGCGATTGCATTGTGAAAGAAACGTTGTGGAATCGATCAGAAAAGGTTGATCATCTAGCATCTAGCATCTGCAAGGTTCTGGAATCATCAAAATGATAAGAAATTTGGCCCATTCTTCGTAAAGTTACAAGCACTATACACAGAAAGATGTATATGGGACTACCCTATCTCTCTCACCAGACCATGAGAGAAATAAGTTTACCAAATATATGAATTAGTAGGCGGTTTCCCGGCAAATTTTTTATCATCATGTATTAGTCAAAACATATTCTTTCACATGATTGGTAATGAGAGCTTCCATTTCATTTTTTGAAATTGGGGCGTTGCCAATACTGGTCTTTACCTTTAATTAGAATATAATATTATATTACTAGGAAAGGAAGTTAACCACATTTTCGCATAATAATTAGGTATTTTCGCATATTTAATGAGTTATGACCATTCAACATTGACCTACATACTCCGAAATCGAACTTAGGCTGTATTTTCATGCATGTACCTTCATATCAAATTTCATTAAAATCCGTCAAACATAACTAAAGCTATCGAACGGAAACCAGATTCGCATTTTTAATGAGCTATATGACATTTGACTTACATACTCCGAAATATAACTTACGCTGTGTTTTGAAACCATGTACCTTCATATCAAATTTCTTTAAAATCTGTCAGACATTACTAAACTTATCGAATGGAAATCAGATTCGCATATTTAATGAGTTATGACCTTTGACCTACATACTCCGAACTCGAACTTAGGCTGTGTTTTGATACCATGTACCTTCATATTAAATTTTATTAAAATCCGTCAAACATTACTAAACTTATCGATCGGGAACCAGATTTGTTACGGAAGAACGAACGGCAGCGTTACTATACCCCCTCCGAGTATAACTATCAGATGACGGGATTGCACTTCAGTGCTGTTACAAAATTATGTTTAATTTAGAGACTTACATTGACATGACGGTATAACGTCCGATGTATTAGGAGCTAGTTAATTCCCCTGTGAGACATAGCAGATACAATGTTTGTAATATATAATGAAATTATGATGTACATGTATGAAACTACAGTAAATATATAATATATATCATGCTCAAATAAATGCAGCTCCATTAAAATGTCCTTTTGATATACATGATTATATTTCGCCCTTGTAAAAATCAGTGATTTTACATCCACTATCATTTATAGTGAATACTACGTCGATCGTGTGGTTTTTGGGAACGCACATTTGACGGATGACTCCGACAACGAGGTAGCGGTTGAGGTGGCTGATATTTTCGTCCATCCCGAGTACGACAACAATTGGTTCTTCAACGACATCGCTCTGATACGACTTGCTGAACCGGTGACATTCAGTGACTACGTTAGACCCGCGTGTCTCTCGGAATCCTCGGATGAACTCAAGGACTATCGTCGCTGCCTCGTCGCTGGATGGGAAACATTGAAATTGTATAGCCGACGTATGTACTGCTTTACTTATATTTGATAATGATTATAATAATTACATTAATGTATATAGCGCAGCTACTCTACTGCTCTGTAATGAAACAAAATCCTAACAGTGCTACTAAACAGACAAACAATAATGAATAAACCTTTAGCCAATCAATTCTCTAGGTTATCTGATTGAAAGAAATGTTATATCCAAAAGGCCTCTTTCAAACAGGGAAGCTTTGAACATGCCCTTTAGTAGTTCTTCTTTACGTAGATCTGAAAACTTATATCCAATATGATTTCATCCACCTAACTTGATACCCTTATTCACCTAATTATTATTAATTAATGTATTTATTGGATGGAATAAAAATGAAAAATCATGCTAAATAGCAGTGCTGAATCCACTCTACCTTTCTATAACTCTTTAAATGGTTTCAAACGTTTAATGATAATTAGATTTGAAATTCGTTTGCTTACAGAAGATGTAAACGATGATTTACTTTAATATTTCGCAGCGTTGGCAGAGAGCTTGAAAAAAGCAGTGGTGACCCTTCTTGACCAAGACCGGTGCAATTCTGAACTTTTCTACAACGGGTCTCTGGCAGAAGAAGAGATATGTGCTAGATATGCGCCAGGTGGAATTGATGCTTGTCAGGTAACTGCTATCTATGGCGCAGCCTGAGTTTAGTCATGTGTGCGGGGGGGGGGGGGGACAGGTGTCATGGGAGCGGGTATCGGACACAATAGGCAACTGTTATGAGGTTTGAATTAAAGAGAATGCTACTACTACTTCTACTACTACTACTACTACTACTACTACTACTACTACTAATACCGCTACTACTTACACTTCTACTAGTATTACTAAAAATGAATATAATGAAAAATCTAGATTTATACATGGATAGTGCTTAAAACAAAATACCGTGTCTAAGCGCTTTAAAAATATTATCATCCCGGACAATGAATTCATTCATACGCAAAATATGCAGCATCTCCACTCTTTGGGGAGTATTCCTACCACAGGGTCACCGTGAGGGCATAACGAAATAACTATCACACAGGCTTCGTGCTCCTACAGTGTCCACATTTGATCCTGGGTATGGAGTGGCAGATGTAGATTAATGCCTTGTCAAAGGACATCAGTGCCGTGCCAGGAGTCAAACCCATGACCTTCGAATTTCCAGTATAGCCATCAAACCTCTCTACTACGACAGCATGGAAGGAGATAAGGGCATAGGATTGAGTCATTACCTTTTACCCAAGTTGCTTTTCTGCTCTCCCATCATTTGTTATTTTCATTAGACCGATTATTTGGGCTGTACTCCCGTTTCCCTCATAACTGTGACACTGACTGCAGTGGTATTTTTTTTTTACTTAGTTATTTTCAATTTTATATCCTTTTTGTCTTTGTTTCAGAATTTGGACACACTGACTAACATACCCCTTTAATATATATCAAACTGCCAGGTTCCGAATACATGTACTTTTTTTCGAAAGCTACACTAATGTGTGTGGTCCTATGTACAGGCCCGTAGCCAGAGTTTGATTTTTTTTTTTTTTTTTTTTTTTGGGGGGGGGGGGCACATACGTGTAATCGATCGAGGTAAAAAAAGGGATCTAAAAAGTTCAACCGATCTTGGATTTTTTTTTTTTTTTGGGGGGGGGGGGTCACGTGCCCCCCCCCCCCTCCGTGGCTACGTGCCTGCCTATGTAGGATATTTGTTTAGTTTGCAAGTCATCCAATTCAATTGTATTATCTCGTGTTTATTACTACAAAAATCAGGGAGACAAAGGTGGGCCTTTGACCTGTGAGGGTGATGATGGTCGATGGCATCTGGTCGGATCAACAAGCTTTGGATGCGCAGGATCACTCTCGGACAGCATCTACACCCGAATCTCACAGTTCCAGTCATTTATTACAGCTGTGGTTTCAGGAGGTGAGTACACCTGTGCAGGAGAATCATGATCGGAAGACTTTCAACAACAACAACAACAACATAAACAACAATACACGGCAATTTTAAAAGCCTTTGTCCACCACCTACTGAAATGTGCTTGCATTACAATGGCGTATTACAAAATCCAATGATTTTCTACATGCCATTGAAATTGATGAGGAGTTGATTCTTCGAAATATTTAGGGATTGTATGGAGAGGACTTCGGCTAAAGGTTAAACCAATGAATGTATGTGCGACTGGCCAATTATAGCTTTCTGAAGCCTTTTGGTTCCCATTATTGTATTTGATCAACTGGCCCCTTTGACCGTGAATAATGATAATATTAATAATAATCTATATAGAGCATTTTCCATAAACGTGTTCAAATGCGCTTTACAGTTATATTGTTAACAGAAAAGTAAAGTTTTGAGATAATTTTTGAAGGTATTGACAGTTTGGTGGCTACGAAGTGATCGGTAGGTTATTCCACAGTTTGGGAGCAGCATCTGTGAAGTGAAGTGGCCCTCTTGCCAGCACATCAACCTGCCCTTCGATAGGAGTCCGAATTCTTCCGATTATAAGTTCACAGTAGTTATACATAGCTAGCAAATTATCGGCGTGTGGAAAAGATCCCAAGCGTCTCTTCCAGATGATTAATGACCTGTTGAGTCCATCCAAGTCTGTTGCTCTTCCTTCTCACGATGATGATGAGGAGTTAGCTAATCAGTTTAGTGCATTCTTCTTGGATAAGATTCGGTCAATAAGAGAGACAATTGAGAGTAGACAAGAGCGGCCCGAAAACCGCGGGCTGAGAAATGCATCGGCTTGTGATTCTGAACTATCAACATTTGAGCCTGCTGAGATTGAAGACATTATAAGGATAATACGTACTACTCCAAACAAATCTTGTCAGTTGGATCCTGTTCTAACATGGATCATTAAACAACTATCAGCAACTTTTGTTTGTGGTATCATGAACATAGTGAATTCATCTCTTCAGGCCTCAGAAGTACCTGATGACTTCAAGCATGCCGTGGTCATTCCCCTGCTGAAAAAGGTTGGCTCAGATCCTGAACAGCTTTCTAACTACAGTCCTGTTTCAAATCTGCCATTCGCTTCAAAAGTTCTTGAGAGAGTTGTTTTCATCAGCTGGTGGACTACATGGAATTCTACCACCTCATGGAAGTCATGCAGTCGGCGTATAAGATCGGGCATAGTGTTGAAAGTGCTCTTTTGAAAGTTTCAAACGACATTCTCACTGCTATCGACAAGCACCAAATGGTGCTGCTTGTAATGTTGGACTTATCCGCTGCGTTCGACACCATCGATCATCAAGTCTTACTTAAAAGACTTTCCGAAAGGCTTGGTGTAAAAGGTTCAGCTTTGCGTTGGATTGAATCATACCTTTCTGGCCGATCTCAGGTGGTGCGTTTTGGTGACAATATATCTGAACCTTGTCCTCTCAAGTGTGGGGTACCTCAGAGGTCGGTCTTAGGCCCGCTACTCTTTACTATCTACATATTACAACTTGGATACATCACTTGTTACCATCAGGTTTAGTTTCATTTCTACGCTGATGACACCCAACTCTATCTCACATTTCGTCCAGGGGATGCTTCGGCTAACTTCGATCAGATGGAATCATGTATGAGTGACATACAAGCATGGTTGAGTTCTAATTTCCTTAAACTGAATCCAGAAAAGACTCAAATGCTGGTGCTTGGATCTCGTCACAATCACTCAATTGTTTAACCTCGAAATCTGAACAATGGTGGTCATACTATCTCTCCATCAAGTTCAGCTAGGAATTTGGGAGTCGTCTTTGACCATCTGTTCAATATGGAAAAGCATGTTTCTGTCATTTGCAGAAGTTCAAATTTCCACCTTCGGAATGTCAGGAGAATCCGTAAATACATGTCGAAGCAGACTAAAGAACAGATCATCCATGCCTTGGTAACTTCCAGATTGGACTGCTGTAACGCCCTCCTGGTCGGTGTCCCTTCCTCAGCCTTTTCTCGTTTGCAGCGAGTACACCACAACGCAGCCCGTGTTCTTACTAAGACAGGGAAGTATGCTCGAATAAGTCATATCCTTCGTCAATTGCACTGGCTACCGGTAAAGAGGAGTATCGTGTTCAAGATTTGCTTGACTACCTTCAAAATTCTGCATGGTCAGGCTCCCCAGTACCTCTCTGAGATGGTATCAGTAACGCAGTCAGTGAGGTCACTTAGGTCTTCAGAGGCTACGAGACTAGTCGTGCCAATGACAAGAACGGTGACGTATGGAGACAGGACCTTCGCAAAAGCCGCACCTCTGGAACTCTCTTCCTTCTCATCTTAGACAATTAGAATTCACAGAACAATTTAAATCACAGTTGAAAGCGTATTTATTTATCTGATGTTTAAGTTTCATGACCTAAAGAACTATATTATGTTGAACTGTATGGATATATATATATATATATATATATGTTTATCCAATACTTGAATTTATGTTTATATAATTTTTGAATTCCTGTTTATCTAAGATTTAAGTTTAATTACGTGTAGAAATAATATCTGTTGAACTGTTTTGAGTAATCTGCTTATATATGTTGTCGCGCCTTGATCGGAAGTTTCGGATACGTGCGCGTTATATATTTATATTATTTTTTATTATTATTATACTTCAAGGTTCAATATTCCGTCTTGAAATTATGGTCTCAAAAATATGTTTTGGCGTTATTCATTGGATTAAACAAAAAAAATCATAAATATTCTGGTTACATTTATATTTCTTTCAGCAATAACACCGGGTATTACTGAAATCACCCTTGAGCGTGCCGTCCCAGTGAACATCACTTCTCCAAACTACCCTTCCGACTACAACATCGGCGATAACATCGTCTGGCAGGTATCGGCCCCTGTTAACCACAGCGTCAGGCTGGACATCGTCGACTTCGCTACCGAATTTGACTTCGACACCTTGTTTGTGGGCGATGGACTGACGCCACTGACCTACACAGAGCTTGCGAGGCTCACGGGCTATGGGTTAAGGTCGATTGTGACGTCACATGGCCGCCATATGTGGCTCAAATTCTTCAGTAATTACAAACGTACTGACGTTGGATTCATGGCAACACTGAACGCTGTGGATCCGAGAGGTAATAAGATCGTCTTCGTGTCATGGTAAAATTCTAGGGATTTTATAATCTTCAGAATGATCAGATGATCATAAAATTATTTCACATCAAACATACAATTTCTCAATTTATTCTCGTTTTTCTTTTTTTATAGGAAAAAACATGCCTGTATTTCTGCCACATTTAGTGTTATCCTTTTTTGTTGTTGTAACAGGTGACAATTCTCTAATCTTGGTGAACGAGTCTACGGTCCAACAGCTACGCTCACCAGACTTTCCTCTTGTTGCAAGCGACAGCGTGCACGAGATTTGGCGGATAATGGCTCCTCAGGATCACAGCGTGAGGGCGCGTTTCGACTTCTTTAACCTCACCAACGGTTCTTCGCTTACCGTGGGCTACGGCTCGAGTCCTATAAAATTCACAATCCTAGTGGAGTTGACTGGAAGTGAATTGCCTGAAGATATTACCTCCCCCACTCAAAAAATGTGGTTTAGATTTGTGTCGAATACTGGGGACTCCAGTAGAGCGGTCGGTCCGCTTAAGGGAAGTGGATTCTTGGTGAATCTAACAGCAGAAAGGACTGAAGGTGAGATGTGTATTTCTTCTAACATCAAAACATTAATAAACTTATTCATTAATCTATAAAAACAAACATGGAAAACTCTTTTAACCTCAAAATACTTGAAATAGTTTTAAAAGGGAACCTTTATGAAGAAAAAAGCACGACAGTTGATATATTAACCATAAGAGACTAAAACAACTAAAACATAATACCTCTGCGCGACCAGTTTGCAAAATTTTGAAATATATATTGATCTTTATTACCTTATTAAAGTTGTAAAATGGACAATGTATTTTGCTATTCTTTTGCTTTTCTCAACCCAATTACAAAAAAACTTAAGACACTTTAGCCATTTTGAGGTGAAAGAATATCAATACTTTCATTACTTTTGCTAAATGAACAATGCTACTTTCCAGAAAGTAACCCTTGCCAGAATGGAGGAACATTTTCAGACATCCATGGAAGTTTACAGTGCTTCTGTCCCGAAGGCTTCAAATGGGATTACTGTCAAAAAGGTATGTCTCCCCCCTCATACTTACAATATTAGTTTTCCTTACTTGTAAATCGCGTATCACATAATGATATAATCTCTCTATGCGCCCTCAAGGGGTACTCTTTGGGTGCTATTATCTCTCTTTAGCTCCGGCAAACATAGGCACTCGGTGCATTCAAGGAATAAATCCTGCCAGGTATTCCCTTTCTACACCTTGGTCAAATGTAGATAAATGTCTTGCTTAAGTACATTTACCCCGCAATAGGCATTCGAAGCCCGTACGTTATGGTTCACAGTCCGGAAACACCAAGTACAACACAACACCTTTGCTAACCGAGCTCTCATAATTTTTCCCTGAATATAAATATATATTTATATATATATAAATAATTTGCAGAAGTACCTATTTCAAAATTAAGACCAACATTTTTTGGCAAGAGCACTTTACGATTTTGTGTGCGATGTGTATGCTTAATTATGGGTGAGGGTCTTTTCAAACGGACAGCACTAAAAATATTGACAACATTTTATGCTTGAGTGAGCACTGGCTAATTTCGAAAAGCTCGTGAAAATTGGTCTGCGCAAAAATGTTTCATTCTTGATTTTGAACAAAGTGCTGTTTTCCGAGTTACACTCTCTTCGTTTTGTACAGAAATGTCACACAAAGTCCCATTTTTTCTAGCGTTGACTGTGCAAGGATGACTAAATCACTTAACTCATTTTCAAGTCGTGGAAAGCACCGTTTTATATTTTGTACATATCTTTATTGTGACCTTGTTCTCTTCTCCAACGTTCAGGTTAGGACAAGACAAATGGACTCGATACCCTCAAGACATAGCACCACGAAGAGATAGCTAGACAAGAATATAATAATTCAGTAAGGCAGTGGTGTAGCGGGGGCCTCTGGCATTACTGGGATTGGCAGTTATTTTATTAGATGTATGAAGTATAAATTGTTGAGGCTACCTACGAGGGGGAACGAGGCAGGAGACTTTATTTACTTCTTTTCACTTTTCACTTTTCCCTTCCCTTTCTCCCTTTCGTTTTTTTGTTGTATATATCGTGCCCCTTGCATTTACTTTATTCGAGAGATTTGTTCTTCAAAGTCATGAACAAGATATTGAATACGGGAAACGGGATACATGTGTATATTAAACCTCTTTATTTACCACGTGACAATGTGGCAGATCTCTAATTGGCTCATAATACTGAACCATTACTTGAATGATATTTTTTTTTCACGCTGTTTGTTATAATAGACATTGAATAGAACATATCAAACTAGTTTACCCAATTCACATGAGCTACAATGATGAAACTTGGTCAGGTTTGTTTTCCCCTTCAATACTGACATTATTAAAACATATTGCTTTTTCTATTACGGTAATGGGGTTTGGTCCTCTCAACAATACGTAAATATGTCAAAACATCTGGAATTTAATAGAAAATATACAAGATAATACCAACATTTTCTATCAGAGTCCAAATGTTTTTTTTTTACATATCCCTTACAAGGTATATGTGCATTTTTATGACCTTGACCTGTGCATTTTTATAGATGAAATAAATCAGATGAAATAATGATGTATTCCGGGGCCTACTAAAAGCCCGTGTACTGTTTTTTGTTTAGTTCTGCTGGTTTCCAAACACGTCAAATTTCCTCTTCCTTTTGGTTTGTTTGTATTCTCTTATATAGAAATTATACTTTAAATTTTTCATATTTGTGGTGATAGAGAAATAATTATAACATTATAAAATAATATTACTTTATGTAGCCTAATACATTCGTGCTGCACTCGTTGTTTTGTTTTTATGTTAAAGTCAGGTGATGTTCATGAATATTGGGAAAATTTGATTTTTATAACATATTTATGGTGAGTAATCTGAAATTAGAGTTTGGCGAATGTACACTCTCTCCTTTAACAATTTTAATGTGTATGGTTCATGGTTCAAGTCCTTGACTTTGAATCGGGGGGGGGGGGGGGTTGAGGGTTCGAATCTTTGCCGGATGCGTACAATGTACCCTCGGACTAGGCATTTGATCAATACTTGCCTCTCTCGACGTTACTATGTACATGGTACATGTATAAGGAAAACGATCACAAGTATTTCGATGACACATAAATGTATTATCAAGCTTTTTTTGTTGTGTACTGTAGCATATTTAACTCTACTCTCGATGTCACATCACATGAGGGGGCCTTAACTTATAACAAGCTGTGCTTCAACCAAGGTCTCCTCGTCCATCTTTATTCTACATTGTACTGTTATGATTATACTCTATTATATTTTTTCACATGTGTTTTTCTGGAAGACAAATAAACTTGATAATTGATACTTGATACTATGAACATGGTATATGTATAAGGAAAACGATTATATGTCGTTTTTTGATTTTTTTTTTTTAACGAAGTTTCATATTTTAGAATGCTCGTTATTCCTCAAAATTCATTCCGAAGGTTTGTAATTCTGAAGGTTCGTTATTCCCAAGGTTCGTTGCTCCAAAGTTTCGTAATTCCGAAAAATGGAAGGGGGCACACAATTCCGGAGGACTGGTTCATAATTCCGGAAAGGCGGTAGAAGTATAGAACCACATGTAATATTTGGAATCATGAACCCTATATATTTCATTTTCAGAATTATTAACCTTGTTTAATTTCCCAATTATGAAGCTTAGGAATTACGAACCTTCAGAAAAATGAGCCGTCGGAAAATCGAGCGCCATCTCTCCCCCTAGTAAACCATGATTCTTGTAAGTGGTTGAACTTGAGTATATTCCATTGTGTCCTCTTTGGCAGGACATAACATCTACATTTGCCACTCTACACCCATGGCAAATGGGTAGTTGTTCTCTAAGAGTATTTTGTAAATAGTATTATATATTCCATATATGTTGTTGTATTCATGAATCAGTAATCTTTGTCACATCATATGAGGGGTCCTTAACTTTATAACAAGCTGTGCTTCAACCAAGGTCTCCTCGTCTTTCTTTATTTTACATTTAACTGTTATGATTATACTCTATTATATTTTGTCAAATGATAAATGGGTATTGACTTGTAAAATTCTTTTATTCGAACACATAAGTGTGAGCCTATACCGGTCGCGTAGCTTATGCCGGGATACTTTATAAGGTAATTTTCTTAGCACTTGGAAGCGCATATAAACGGAATATTGTAATGTGATATTCGCCATATAAAACGAAATGGTATCATTGTTGTGATTACTCCGTAATAATGTCTTGTCTTTGTATTGATATTCCACATAATTATGCCTTTTCAATTGTACTTGTTGAATACTACTTGTTTTTCTTTTCTGGGAAAAAATAAAGCAATTATAAACAGCTGATTGCGTTTTGTCCATTGTTTCATGATTACAATATCAAAATTTTTGGTATGAAATGATTTGATATATTGTACAGTTTAAATAATATTGAATGAGGCAACTTAAAAGAAGTGGCGATATGATATGTTCATGTATAATTCTTTGTGTGCTCAACTATAATAATATTAGTTGGATAGGGAAAATGCAAATCGTTCAAAAGTACAGTTTACATTACAGGCGATAGGTCTCAGTTTTACCTAAATCCTTAAGGTAAGCCTCAAGACTTACAATAAAACTAAAGCCAATCATCATCATCATTATCATTATCATCACCATCATTATTATTAGTATCATTGTTATTACTATTATTATTATCATTATCATTTTATTCATTATCAGCATTATCTGCATCAGCGTTATTACTAAAACTATACTGCTAATACATGCGGCTGCTGTTGCTGCTACTTGCTTTTATTGTTGTTCTTGCTTCTTCTTCTTCTTCTCCTTTTCCTCCTACTTCTTTTTCTTTCTTCTTCTTCTTCTTCTTTTACTTCTATCTCTTCTTCTTATTATTCGTCTACTTCCTCATCTTTTTTTTTTCGTCCTCTTCTTCTTCTTTTCTTCATTATTTTCTTCTGAAAATCTCACTTCTGCTCCAAAAGTGTCTTGTCTTTTCTTTCAAATAATAAATTTATTACATCCAATTCTCTTTTTTAAAATTAAGACATCTGATATAAACATAGAGATCTACATGAATGTGAGATCTGTGAATAGATGATACGTCTTGGACTGATGATGTTAAGATGGGTCCGATTCCCACTTTTTCATTTGATGCATAAGTTTATCTATTTTGTAACACAGCATTACAGATAAAATGTAGCTCATATACTTATCGTAGCAACAGGCAGTTGATATCTTTATTATAATTATGACTTAGCCCAAATTAACTTGCTGCACCTTTAATCAGTACTGTGATTTTGTACAGTAAACAATGAGTGGCATTGATATGCAATTATTATTCAGAAAAAGATGGATGGTCTATCGATCGCATGTCCAGACCTTGACCTCGGGAGAGGGACAGAGCGTTAGAGAGAGAGGGGGGCGTTGAATTGAGAGAGCATGAGGGAGAGAAAGGCGGAAAGATAGAAATGGATGATATAGGTGAGAGGTGAGAGATGGAGAGAAAGAGAGATAGAGAAATTGAAATAGAGGAAAGGGATGGAGAGAGATTGAGATGGAAGAGAGGGACGGAGACAGAGAGAGAGTAATTAAAATAGAGGAAGAGGGACAGAGAGTTAGAGAGAGGGGGCGTTGAAATGAGAGAGCATGAGAGAGAGAAAGGCGGAGAGGTAGAAAGGGATGGGAAGGGATAGAAAGAGTCAGAGGACGGGCGGTGGTGGGTGATAATTTGCAGACATGACGGTAAAGCACCGACATTGGGAGAGAAAGAAGTGTCAGAGACCCAAAAAACGGAATCGTAGAATTAAAGACGGTCAAAATATAGGAAAGGATGGATTGGAGAACAGTGGGCGGGGTCAGATAATTGAACAGGGTTAGAAATCATTTTAAACAATTCCTGTCTCTTGAAAATGGTACCTAGACCTCTGAACGAAATAACAATTATCGTGTATTTTGATTTAGACTAATAGTCCTACTCTCCACCTACTTATATGGCATCAATTAGAGGTCACTTTTGCCATTTTTTACCAGTGGTAAAATTTCTCATTTATTAACAGTCCTACTCTGCACTTACCTATGACATCAGTTAGAGGTCCATACCCATATAGTTCCCTCTTTGTTACACACACTGGAAAACTCTATCTTTATTTGGTTGTATTATCTTTTTTTGTATATAAAAAAAGAAAATAAATTAATAACAGTAATATAAACAACAGTGGGACCTCGTTATTTCAAAACATTGTTTTATTAACTTTTACTTCGGCAAGACACTCCAAATGATTTTATTTCTTAATAATATATACCGGGTTTTTTTTTTTTTTTTTTTTTTTTTTGTCAGCCCTGGCACAAATAAGTTCAATTAAAGCGATCAATTTTCCATAGTCCCATGGAGTTCTTTTGAAGTTACACTGTATATTTCTGAACATAAAAACCACTGATTAAATTTGTTTTAAATGTAAATAAGGAAACCGCAGTTTTGCATTCACTTCAACTGATCCATAGTAAACGTTCAAATAATCAGTCCAAGCCATGTTGTCATGGGTTTTGTATCACAAAAGTTTTTTATGATTGTATTTAATATACTCTGAAACAAATTATAATTTCATATTCCTTAGTATATAATTAATTCATAAATTTGAGGTTTGTTCTTTTTTTACCAAGTTAGTCAATGTATTTGTTATGACATGAAGAATGCGATGCATATCTATATCTTTTTATTATTATTATTTATTTGACCAATCGGAAAACATACAATGAGTATAACAATCAGATAATACATAGACATTTCATAATACATTCAAACAGCTTTATGAAAGTGGAGAGGAGATAGAGAGAAGGATACAATCTGCTGGTCAGGGGTGACAAAAGCAATTTAAATTGCTATTACTCGAAAGCATGTCACCCCCCACAGTCTGCATCCTGGAAAATTAAGAGTAAAGAACAGAATAAAAATTCACAATATGAGAAAATAAATAAATATATATATATATATATATATCAGGATAACAATAGTTGGAGCAATTACTATTATATCCTTGATTACTTTCATTACATCATTATGTCTTTACGTTCATCACATAAATATATAAATTTTCAAATCAATAACTTGGTGCTTACATTAGAAACATTTGATATGATTATTATTGGGGAGGAAAGTTACATAATAGTATAAAATGCTTAACAATAATTTCTAACTTACAAAATGAAATGAATAACATTGTAATCTGAAGCCTAATATGTACTGAACGGAACGAAGAAATGAGCTTGCAATATTGATATTATTTCAAAGTGACAAAATAAATAAATTAGTCAGTTATGATCTAGGTAAGATGTATAATTAATCTTAGGGTTTCCAAAAAGGCACAGTACAATAATAAAACAGTTGCTTTTAAGTGACGATCAGCTTGAGAGAAATGGACAGAATTTGAAATCAGACACGAGTATGAAAAATATTACCATTAATAATTATCAATACATTGTTTTACATTGAATTTAATGAGTTCAATTAACACTGAGAAGAGATTGTTTCAGTGTTGAAAGGAAGGATGGAATAGAATTAAGTACAGCAGTATCTTTTATTTCTGTGGGAAGGTTGTTCCACAGTCTTGGAAAGCGGTGAGATGGAGAAAGAAAAAGTGCCTGTCTCCGAGAAGGAAGGTGGCGGAATGTAAGTACCTCTTGCCGCCTGGAATTGATCTGGGTGGATTCAGTAAGAGCCTCACAAAGGGTGAGACCACTGAGGCATTTGAAAGTGAATGAAAGAAGGAAGATAAGCTTGACCGGTGAAGAGTAGTGAGTCTATCTTCATAAGACATGTCGCCTCTCCGTTGTTTAAGGGCAATACGTGTGGCTGTGCGCTGAACGCGTTCTAATTGCTGCTCTTGTTTGAGGGTGTGAGGATGCCAGGCTGGACATCCGTATTCTAATATTGGAAGAATGAGAGCTTTGTAAAGAGAGAAAATGGCTTGTGTTGAAGCTTGACCTGCCACTACTCTAATGAACCCGAGGAGACGGTTGGCCCTTTTGACGATATTATCAATATGTGTGTTCCATTGTAGATTAGCACAAATTGTGACCCCTAGATAAACATATGAAGGGGCACGTGAGAGGTCAGACGTGTTGAGTTTGTATATTGGGGGTTGCAGATTCCTGCTCCTAGTTACATGGAGTATTTTACATTTGGAGGGATTGAAAGCCATTTGGTTCTGCTCGGCCCATTCATGTAGGAGTTGCAAATCAGTTTGAAACCTCTCTTCATCATTGGGTGACTGCACCGTACGAAACATCAGAATGTCGTCAGCAAACATAACAGATTTAGAAGAAAGGGGGAGGGAAATATCATTGATGAAAAGGTTGAAAAGGAGAGGGCCTAAACAACTACCCTGGGGCACTCCGGAAGTCACATCAACCCAGGGAGAAGAGGAACCCTGAAAAATTACACGCTGTAATCGTCCAACGAGGAAGGACTTAATCCATTTCCAGAGAGTACCTGTGACATTAAACTGTGCAGATAGTTTAGACAGTAGGATGTGATGAGGCATTTTATCAAATGCTTTGGACATATCTAGGAAAGCTGCATCTACACGAGGAGGACGATTTTTATCAAGAATTGTACACCAAGCTTGTAGGACATTGATAAGCTGGGTGACGCAACTGCGTTTCTGTGTAAAACCGTGTTGGTTTGGATTGAGGAGACCAAATGTTTTGTACATGTTTGAGAATGGAAGAAGAAACAATTTGCTCAAGAACCTTACATATAACAGAAGTGAGGGCAACTGGTCTGTAGTTTGACATGATTGATCTGTCACCCTTCTTAAAGACAGGAGTAATGTTTGACCGACGCCAAGAATCTGGTAATTTGCCTGTATTAAGGGATATGTTAAAGAGATGGACGAGAGGATATGATATTTCTAGGGCACAGTTCTTCAGTATAACGGGAAGAACCCCGTCAGGTCCTGGGGCTTTAGATGCTGAGAGCTGAAGGAGGCGGTTGCCTACCTGGTGAACCTGTACCTGTATTGAGGAAAGCTGTGGAATTGGTTATGAACCAGATGGTGGTTCATCACTGACTGACTCAGAGGGGTTAAACACAAGAGAGAACATATCATTAAATGCATTTGATATTTAAGACGGTTGAGAGAGGGAACTGTTATTCACAAGAAATTTGGGAGGTGGAGCATTCTGCTTCTTTTTAGATACAAATGACCAAAATCTTCGTCTGTTATCATTAGAGGAAAACATGTTATTGACATATTCCCAATACAACTTTCTGGTCTGCTTCTTGACATCATTACGGACAACTTTATACTGACACCAGTCCAGGTCCAATGTTGACCTTTTAGCCT